ATGGTGTTAGTACCTGAAGTTCTGTTGAATGAACTCAAAGGAAAACTCCCCAAACCTCCGGAATTTCAATCTACTCTGAGTATAGGTCAAGAATTGGACCAGATTACCAGACGTGAAGATTTAACCCCAGAAGAAAAAGTGGCTTTATACGGTCAAGAACTTCATCGGTATAGGAATTATTTACAACAAGCGAGAGAGCCAGGGAAAAAATCCCCTGCCCCCGTAGCTCCAGCAGCAGCACCACCACCAGCACCCTTAGCCCCAGCCCCCGAACCAGGAGCAGCAGCAGCAGCACCAGCTTCAGAGCCCGAGATCGATCAACAAATCATTCAAAGTGTGAATAAACCCATGCAAAGAAAAGCTGAATTATTATTAAATCATTTAAAGAAAACCAACGTCTTGACTTGGGATAAAGACGGAGAAATCAGTTATCGAGGTCAAAAAGTACCCGATTCTAACATTGTGGATTTAATGGCTGAAAACATGAGAACCAGATCCTTGAAAAATCGTCCGGTGCCTAAAGGATTAGACGAATTTGCTCAAGCTTTAAAAGAGACCCGTACTCCTATGTTTTATTTGCAAAATCGAGACCTTATAAAAGCCATGCAAAAACCAGGAAAAATCAGTACACCTAAAGGGGCTTTGAGTGACGAGGACGACGAAGAAGAAGAGAGCGGATTTCATGATGCTTCCTCTTCTTTTTTGACTCCTATTAGTCGACCTGTAGAGGCGAGATCAAGGGTGCTTAAAAAAATCACACCTAAATATAGTCCCTATCGAGCCCAAAAGCAATTAAAAGCCCAAGAAGAAGAAAAGAAGAAATTACAACAAATCGAGGAAAATTGGGTTCCAATGCCTACAAAATGAAGAAGAAGAAGAAGAAGGAAGTGGGAGACATTTTAACAGAGATTTATTACGATCCCAAGAGAGGGTATGGAGGTATACAGACTTTGTATCGTCAGGTCAAAAGTCTGGGACATAAGATTTCCTTAAACACCATACGAGAATGGTTAAAAGAGCAAGATACTTATACCTTACATAAACCCATTCATCGAAAATTCCGGAGACAACAGACCAGAGTGACGGATATGGACGAACAATGGCAATTAGATTTAGCCGATGTGTCCAGTTTAAAGAAACATAATGACGGCTATACGTTTTTATTGTGTGCCATTGACGTCTTATCTAAATATGCTTGGGTGGTGCCTTTAAAACAGAAAACGGGAAAAGAAATGATTCGAGGATTACAAGAGATTTTCCGACAAGACGGTCGACGTCCCGTCCGCATTCAATCGGATCAAGGCAAAGAATTTACCAATCGAGAATTCTTACAGGCATTTAAATCCATTCATTTCTTTACCACACGCAATACGGACACCAAAGCCAGTATCGTGGAACGATTTCAGAGAACCCTCAAAGCACGCATGTGGCGGTATTTCACTCGGAATAAAACCAGACGGTATTTAGAGGTCTTACCGGATTTAGTGTATGCTTACAATCATACGTATCATCGCAGTATCCAAAGAGCTCCAGCTCAAGTGAAACCCTCGAATGTGTTAAAAGTCTGGAAAACTTTATATGGGGAAGAATCATCACCTAAAACCAAAAAACCCCCCAAGTTTAAAACAGGAGATAAAGTGCGCATCAGTAAAGCCAAACGCACTTTTGAAAAAGGATATTTACCGAACTGGACCACGGAAATATTTACCATTGCTCAACGAGTTCCCGGTCGGTATCCTTACGTGTATCGAGTACAAGATTATAACCAGGAGGAATTAGAAGGGACTTTTTACGAGAAAGAATTACAACAGATCATTAAAAAAGACGACGTGTACGAAGTGGAGGAAATCTTGGGGTATAAAAAGCGACGAGTCGGGAAAAAAATCATTCAAGAAGTCAAAGTCCGGTGGAAAGGATATCCCCCTAGTTTCGATTCATGGATTCGTCAAACGGATCTCATCCAATAACTCCTCATTGGAAATTTTGTGGAGAGAATATTCCTCGAGAAGAAATTGTGTATTTTGCCCAATTATTCATTTGTATTTCCCTCATCATCACCAGTGTGGTCATGTTAGCTTTACACGATTCTAATCGAGAATATTGGATGGTCTGTGTGAGTTCTTCGGTCGGTTATATCATGCCTAGTCCTACCATGATACATCATACCCCTACCACCAAGAAAACCAATTCACCCAGTTAATCCCGGAATCTAAAAATAGATACATCCCTCTATATATTAGGAGATACCATAACCCTAAGAAGATCATTTCTGATCTGAGTGAGGGACAGAGCACACACGTCATGGAATTTTTAAGCTCAGAGTATCGTTGGAAAATAGTAGAACATGAAGGGACTAGTTTAAAGGGAGAATGGATGAAAAACAAAGAGAAATGTATTCAAGATTTCTTTGATCAGAATCCAGGACAAACAGGTCTCAATGAAATCTACCTGTATAAGAGAATCAAGTTACCGGACCGACAAAGACGTAAACACATGGTCTTAATAGGACCCAGACATCCCAAGTATCGGGAATTCAAATGGAAAATCAATTACGTCTTGCCTCACCAAAGAGAGGGACCCGAAAGCACTTTGTTTCAAGGGAAATGGATGGAAAAAGCTGGAGATTGTATTAAAGACTATTTGAAAGAAGTGGTCCTAAAAGGATACGATATCATGGACTGTGCTTGTGAAACAGACTATTTGTACATGAGGAGACCTTTTCCCATACAAAAAGAACTGAATCAAAGTTTTGAATGTTTGTTATTATAATGATGTTCTTGTTTCTTGTTGTTATTGTTATGAATCAATAAAATAAAAGAAAAAAAAATTCTAGTGTTGTTATTTTTTCTTTATATACAAAAAGAAGTGTTGTTATAAATACAAAGGTCTTAAGGTTTAGGGTCTCAGTCTTAGATTGAACATGGCCGAGAGCAGTGGGTTTTACATGACTTTACCCAGTGATGGGTCCATGTCCTCTTTTCCTAGCAATACGACTGCTCAATTTAAAACCTTATTACCACAATCCCTGGATTTAACGGACGGTCAATGGGAAGTGGCTTTGACGGAAATGATCTATCCTTGTAGTATAGAAAATATCAGTGAAGAAGAAGCTTATGTGGAAATATGTATGGTGGAAAAAATTCCCCCTTTCTTTGAAAAGATTTCCCCGGGGGAGAAATTGGATCTGGAGGACCCGGATAAGTATCATTGGGGAAGATTTCAACTCTTGAAAAGTAATCCCATCACCTTTGCCGATACTCAATTGTTAGTGGGATGGAGTCAAGCGTATTGGTTGAATGGAACTTATGATCCCAGAGAGACACTCAATTTGTATCGCCTCAAATTTAGACCGGGACCTTATGCCAATCCTACAGCTCTCCTAGCAGAAATCAATGAAGGTTTAGAAAGGTGTCTGAAAACCATATGGAAAAAATATGAAACCTGGACAGCACCGAGGAGGAGCAGAAATAAAAGAAGTACTGTGAATGAGGATGAAGATTATGGAAGTTTAAAAGCCAACTTAGTGAAAATCCTAAAAGATCTGAAAACAGAAGAAGAAGAGCCCTCTAAAACCGAGATGAGATTTACCTATAGGGACAATTTCGATCGAGTGAATTATGTCACTCATTTAAGAGAAATTCCCATCTTTATCAGGTTTCCCGTTAGTTTGGCTTATAAATTAGGATACCACAGTCCTAAATTGGTACCCGAAAATTGGACAGAAAACACCACTAAATGGATCAACATCAGTTACATGGCTCCGTACACTCCGGATTTATACCGAAATTTAAAATCCATGTACGTGTATTGTGATCTGATTCAACCCCAGACCGTAGGATCCAATGCCTTGAAACTCTTAAGAGTGGTGCCTTGTCATTTCGAGGACAAAGAAAAACAATGTAAATGGGAACCCATTCGAGCAGAATATGTCCCTTTGAATAAAAAACATTTCGATACCATTGAGATTCACATCATGACTCCTTTAGGACAACCCATGCCTTATTTAAGTGGGAAATCTATTGTCAAATTGCATTTCAGAAAAGTCTACTGAAATGAATGTACCCTTATTGTGTTCCATCTTATTGGGGGTGATGACTTGTCTGGTCTGCTGTCTGTATTGTATTCAGCCCTAAAGAGTATAAAAGGCAGTCCCCCGAGGACCTAAAGGTCAGTTTCATACGAGTCATGAACCATGCAGTATCATTCAGGATTACTGAGACAGACAGGACACGGTTGGACTTATCATAAAGGTTTACTACGTCAAAAAGGACACGGAATAGCCGGTTCCATCATCTCTGGATTGGTCAAAAAGGACACCTTTTGTTAAGTTTCCCCCGGACTTCCTGCTGAAGAATTTACTCAAATTGGGAGGGTTTTCAAACTCACATGAAACCTCCAAAAGGAGCTAATATTTTAAACTTCCAATTCTCCAGCAGTCCCCGCCATCATCCTCAAAAAGGGAAAGGATTTTTCAGGATTTACTGAAAACGGAGCTAAACAATTACTGCTGCTGCATGGGGTTAGACAAGAAAATAAGAGGATCTTTAAAAGATGCAGTCAAAACATGGAAAACAAAAATACATCGGGAATGGTAACACAAAGAATGAAGATAGGAGAGATGTAATAAGAAAAAGAAAAAAAGAAATGCTGTGTTAAAAAATCACTGCGGCCAAAAATACAGGCTTATTTGCTCTCAAGAATGACTTCTAGGAGACCCTTTAGAAAAAAAAAGAAAGGAAATTGGGTCCCTCCCGAAATGGGAAGAATATTACCCTATTTCCAGTAACAGGGAAAGGATTCAAGAAGAACAAGAAAGCAGACGGGAAGAGGGGAGAGAGTCCTATTAGCCCGAGGAGGTCCTAAGAGAAAAAAGAAAAAACAAGGAGGAGGAGAAAGAGCCAAGAAAAAAAGGACCTTAGATGTGTTTGACTGAGAGAGTATAAATAGGACCCTCGAATCTCAAAGACCTTCATTTGGCGATCACTCCGTCTAGAGTCAACATGTTACAACCCGATTCCTGTGCCTGTGGGATGAACAATTTAGAATTGTTCCAAGTCCCTCCCACTAACATTGCTTTAGAAGAGTCGAAATGGGAAGAATATTACCCTATTTCCAGTACTTTAGATTCCGATACGGCTCCCATCGAATTTGAAATTAAAGGACAAGGAGATCAATATCTGGATTTATCTCAAACTTATCTTCAAATGGTGTGTCAATTTACTCAAAATGATGGAAGTGCTCTGGCTGGAGATCCGGCTAAAATAGCTCCGGTGAATAATATCTTACATTCCATGTTTACGGAAATCGATGTCAGTCTGAATGGGAAAATAGTGACCTCGGGGACGGATACTTATCCTTACAAAGCGTATCTGGAGAAATTATTGTCCTACCAACCCAGAACTTTAAACACACAGATGAAAGCCTGTAGTCTGTGGGAAAAAGATACGGCAGGACACATGGACGAAGTGGGATTAGAGGCTCTGACAGTTTCCGGCGCAGCTGCTAGCAGGACCTTTAATAAAAACAATGATGATAGTGTGACCATTAGCAAACCCATCCTCACAGAGTACCCGGCCGATTCTAAAAACGAAGGATTCCGAAAAAGAAACCAAGCTATTGCTGGGAGTAAGAAAATCACTTTGTTGGATCGTTTACATCTGGATTTGTTTCAACAAGATCGATTTCTACCTAATGGAGTGGACGTCCGTTTGAGATTTAATCGCGCTAGACCTGCTTTCTACATGATGACCGGTCAAGCCAATACGGGAAAAGTGAAAATATTAAGTATGGTCTTGTGGGTGAGAAAAGTCAAACCTGCCCCTACTTTGATGAATCAGATCAATCAAAATCTGAATACTCACAGAGCTAAATATCCCTTGAGAAGAGTGGAAGTGAAAACCTTTACCATCCCCACAGGAACCCAGTCTAAGATTACCGATCATCTGTTTCAAGGCCAGATGCCTAAACGTCTCATTTTAGGCTTTGTGGAGAATGCGGCCTTTAACGGAGATAAAACTAAAAATCCCTTTCATTTCCAAAACTTTGGGATCAAGAAATTAGACGTCAGTATCAACGGAGAGACCATGAGTACTCGATGTTTTGAACCTAATTTCAACGACGATTTATATCTGAGATCTTATCTCAGTCTGTATCAAGCTCTGGGAAAATTAGGAGAAGATTGGGCTCCAGACATTACCCTAGAAGAGTATAAAAGCGGCTACACTCTATGGGGATGGGATTTCACTAAAGATCAAGAAGCGCAATCGGATAAATTCCATCTCATAGAAACAGGAAATCTGAGAGTAGAAGTGCAGTTTACCGGCAATACGGCCACTACCTTAAATTGTGTGGTGTATGCAGAATTCGATAACGTCTTAGACATTAACAAACAGAGAGAAGTGGCTATTGATTACTAATGGATACGGGACAATTAAGAGAAGTCTTATCCAGAGAATTCAAGAGTTCTTTTGGAGGGGTGTATCCTATAGATTTATTACCGGATCAATTAAGACCTGGAGAAAAAGCTGTGGTGGTCAATACGGATCCTCAAGATCGACCTGGAGAACATTGGGTGTGTCTGTATGTGAGCAATCCCGTGGTGGAATATTTCGATTCTTATGGATTTCCTCCCTTACAAAAAGAAATTCAAGATTTTATCCAGCGTCATGCTCAGCAATGGATTTATAATCCGTATCGCTATCAAGACTGGAATACCGATGTGTGTGGACAATATTGCGTGTATTATTTACATCAAAGAGACAAGAAAAGAAAGAAAGCGGACGAATGGTTATTCCCTTTTGACCAGAGTACGGCTTTACAAAGGGACAGATATGTGGCGAATTGGTTTCAAAACACTTATCATAAATTACCTACGGGTCATGGACAAAAGTGTCAATGTTTTTATCAAAATGTATTGTAAATACGTTGTTTGTTGTTGTTTGTTGTTACAAATAAAGAATGAAAAAAAAATCAAAAATGTGTGTTTTCTTTGTTATTGTTTTGAGGAAATCCAGTTCAAACTGGTTAGGCTAGGCTAGACTGTGAATGCATGCGTGACGTCATAATCTTGAATCTCTGCCAAGTATTTACCTGTATAGTCAGCATAAACAAAAACGTAGGTCTATCGTTATATTTCTTTGCACACGGCGCAAGTATTTTACCTGTGCAGTCAGCATAAACAAAACGTAGGTCTATCGTATATTTCTTTGCACACGGCGCAAGTATTTTACCTGTGCAGTCAGCATAAACAAAACGTAGGTCTATCGTTATATTTCTTTGCACACGGCCCTTATCTTTTGCAAAGGTGTGAGGGGTATAAAAACAAAAGGTGTTAAAAAAAATCCTCATTAGTTGGGGGCCTTATTGAGTAAAGGACAGTTTTGGTCAAGTGAATTCCTAGAATATTAGAAGACATGGAGATGAAGATGGAAAAACTTACCTTATTAGAAAAGAGAATGATAGAACCTATGGAGCTGGATCCGGAACCTAGGAATGAATATTTACCCCTGCATGAGCCTGTGAAGGATCCTAAATTTCCAGACAGATGTTACAGGATAGCCATTAATTGGAATTTCATCATTCCAGACCCCAAAGAAAAAGAAGATCGAGATATGTTTCTGAGCAATGAAGATAAATTTGACTATTTGATTCTTCAAAAGGAAAGACATCCCTGGACAGGAGAAGTACATCAAATCAGGGGATTCATTCAAATGAAAAGACCAGTAGGAGGACTGGATATCTATAGACTTCATTGTACTGCCAGATTTGTTATGTCTTACAGTACCCCAGAATTGGAGAGCATGTTTTACAGGCAAGGAGGTGACTATGAAGAATATGGTGTTCTGAAACCTGAGGAGAGAAACAAAGAATTGGAGCCCAGATTTAGTCAAGTTGACTTCCCTTTTGTCTAGCTCTTCTCGGATATAACAGAAATTGTTTCATCACTTTCTTTGCAGTCTGTCCTGAAATGTTGAGACTTCTTGCCAACTCCGTAAAAGCTGTAATTGTTGTTGTTGTTTTATAAAAACAAGGATCTTTTAAAAAATAGATTCATTTTACATCATGAGTCTCCAGGAGATACAAGGTGATTTACTCAACTGTGAGGTAGAAGCTATTGTTCATCAATGTGATTGTTTGTCTGTAAAAGCTTATGGATTGAGTCAAATTATTGCAGAGAAATTCCCACAAGCCAATATCTATGCCACCCGCAGAGCTGTAATTTCAAAATATAGCTTTAGAACAAGATAGAGGACATTCCAGGCACTATTAAGGTGTTTCCTCACAAACCCCTGTGGTCATTTGTGTGTATGTGTTATTGGGATTATGGAAAAGCAAGTCAAAACCTAAAAAATTATCAGGACACAGCATATTTAGAGAGAAATGGTTTATGTTTACAACAAATGGGTAGTTTACCTTATTATTATTTTTCCTTTTGGAAAATTTAAAAATTAATCATTAAAATTATATTGAACAATTTGCACACACTTATAACAAACAGGTGTACATTTTTTTAAAAAAGTGATAATGTACATGTAAAAATGTGTAAAAATTGTTTTGATGGTGTTATAAATGTTAAAAAAAAAATGTGTGTTTTGATGTGTTTTACCCAAAAAAAGGGGAAATTATTATTAACACACACACACACACAAAGTTTTATAAGTTTAAAAAAGTTAAAAAAATTATAAGTTTTTAAAAAAAAAAAAAAAGTTATAAAATTTTAAAAAAGTGACCTGGTGTTATAACTTGAGAGAAACACAATGTTTCTTCTTTTTTTTTATTGACTGAATATGAAGGCATCTTTTCGAAACAATTGGGTGGCCCTTAAAAGGGCCGTTGGGTATCAAAACACTTTTTGTTGTTGTTTTTTTTTTGTTTTTTTTTTTTTTTGGTTTTTTTTTTTTGTTGTCAAGTAGGTCCCGCCTAGGCTGCCAGCAGCTCCTGGACTAACTGTCCAATGTTTCCGGTCCCGTCTTCTTCATCTGAGGAACTGCTATCAGGGGGGTCAAACTCTGGTCTCCTGGATAAGGGAACGGGGACACAGATCCCGTTCCTGCAGAGGGGGCACTCCATTCCTTGCTCAATTATCCGCGCCGCGCAGAGGACACACGAGGCCCGTTGAAGACATCTACTACAAGCGTAGTTATTCTCCTCGTTGTCAGTCATACATAACGAGCAGTAACCCCTCTGGACGGGGACTCTAAATCCCCAAGACGGTATCCGCCCTTGGTTCCTGGCTCTAGACTGGGGGGCTGTAGGTCTGGGTGGTGGTGGGGGCGGCGATCTAGAAGGAGCTCTCCTTCCCCTGCTTCGAAGCCTGGTGTAGGGGGTGCGGGTCCTCCTCTCTGCTCTCCGTGGTGGCTGGGCTAACTGCACCCTCACCATGTTATATCTCGAGATCTCTTGCCCGTTGTCCAATCTTCTAACAGTAACTCTGGTCTCAATTGAGATTCCGGGAATCATGAATAGGTTTTCACGAAACTCCTGCTGCGACATCTTTTTTCTTCTTCTTCTTCTTACTTCTTACTTCTTAGTCAACCAAACAAAGCAAATCAGCTACAAGCAGAATGACACTGGGCGCTCGGAGGGGCTGTATTTATACACAATAGCAGACGATACTGCAATCGCGGCAAAACATCAACAAATCAATCACGTGATTAAATGTGATTGGCTAACACAAAAAAATCGCTTTTGGTCATGTGATCAAAAAGAGCTCCATCACAGTGACAAAGCAAAATTGAAGGGGAGAAACGCCGAACCCGAGTGTATATATGACGTCATACAATAAACATAACAGTGATATTTACATGATTTTTTATTTCTTTTTTTAAAAAATTCTCCTCTAAAATAGTATTTCGATCTGCTATTCATTGTATCCAAGGGGGTGGGGGTTAGTCATTCGTAGATTTTTTTTTTTGAAGGTTTTGGCATTAAAAAAAAGTCACGGATTTTTTTTTTTCTTAACCTATGTGTGAAATTTCCCAGGTATTCCGTATTGAATACATACTTTCTCCATCGCATCTATGTAAAAAATTAATTAATTTTTTTATTCTCATTTTTTTATACCCCACACAGGTAAAACGTATATTTGCACACGGTCCATAAGTATTACCTGTATAGTCAGCATAAACAAAACGTAGGTGTATCGTATATGTTTTGCACACGGCTCCTTTATAGATGATATAAACAGGTATATAAAGCCTAGGTAAAAAAAAAAGGTGCACACGGCCCCCACACCAGGTATATAAAGCAAAAAACTGTAAAATTTGATGATCATTCTGTGTGAGCACGGAACACAGGTGAAAAAAAGAAATAGAAGCAATGATGAATACTTCAGAAAATTCCCAGTATTATGTAACACCTGAAGGATATGTAGGAGCTCCCATGACAGAGATAATAAAGGATGCAGTGGAATTGGATTTGAATTTGGACATGATTAATTTTCATGAGGACATGAATAAAGAAGATATGAGCATTTTAAATACCACTTTGGACGGAATTGTGAACATGCTATCTGCTCTGGATAACAAACTAAATCAAATGAACACCAAGATGAATGATGTGGATAACAAGGTGAATAAATTGAACACCAAGGTGAGTGATCTTGAAAACAAGCTGGATAAACTGAAATGTTACAACAGCAGTGGATTTTGTTACATTAGTGGTCTATTATCACCAATCACAAAGTCATTAACAGGAAAGACAACAAAAATGAGAGAAGAAGGAGGAACCACTGACCAGAAAAAAGAAGGACCAGGGGGATCAGGAGAGAGTAAGAAACAGATGGATCTATGTTATGTATTGGTAAAAGACATAGAGAAAAAACCTAGGGAAACCAAAAGGAAACTACCCCTGACCAGTGAGAAGGGACAGAAGAAGAAACAGAAAATGTAAATTGTATGTATATTTTTTTTTTTTTTTTCATTGTGAATAAAAATTGAATAAAAATCAAAATCTGTGTTAGTTTCACTTTTGTTTTTGGTAATGAGGTTTTCAAAAAATGAAGCTAGACTGTGAATGAATGAGTGACGTCATAATCACATTCTTGAAATGTTTTGCACACGGCGCATTTACCTGTGCTCCATAAAAAAAACGTAGTACCTACGTACCAATGTAAACACAATGTAAGCGCCCCGTATTTAGGGGATAGGATAGTTAGGGTTAAAAAAGGGTTAGGGTTAGTTGGGGGTTAGGGTTAGTTAGGGTTAGGGTTAGTTAGGGGTTAGGGTTAGTTAGGGCTAAGGGGGGTTAGGGTTAGGGTTAGTTAGGGCTAGGGGTTAGGGTTAGGGTTAGTTAGGGTTAGGTTAGGGTTAGGGTTAGTTAGGGTTAGGGGGTTAGGGTTAGGGTTAGTTAGGGTTAGGGGATAAGGGGTTAGGGTTAGGGTTAGTTAGGGTTAGGGGGCTAGGGGGTTAGGGTTAGAACTGCACTCAGTTGACCCCCTTATCCCCTCAACCAATCAAAATTAATCAAGTGATTTCTCTCAGCCAATCAGAATCTTCCCCTATCGGGACGGCTTATACTACTTTTTATGCTTCCAATTATAGCAGATATTTGAAGCAACATCATTTCTAAATTTTGTCCTAGCTTAGCATGAAGATTCCACAATAAGAATTCTATTTTAAGACAGTAACTTGCAACATCTACTGCATTAGATGTATCGGTATTTTAAAATATCTGTTGTTTTTCTCAGGCTTACGGCGCGAGATTTCTGGATTGGGCTAAATGACAGGGAAAAAGAGGGAGATTTCTGGATTGGGCTAAATGACTGAAGAGGAGCAAAAGAGATAAAAGTTTGAGTTTGTCATTTGAATGAAATCATATATATATATATATATATATATATATATATATATATATATATATATATATATATATATATATATATATATATATATAGGGATATATCTAATCATATTAATTTTCCTTAAGCTTATATGTCAAATTTTAAATATTCGCAAAGAAATAAAATTCAATTTTCGATAACAAAAGAAAGTAAATTAATACTTTAGATTGGCAATGGTCAGATGGAACACCCTTAGATTACAAAAAATGGCTGACATCTCAACCAGATAATTGGCAGGGATATGAGAACTGCGCCACGTACCGACGAACCAACAGAGGGTTTAACGATCTCTTTTGTTCTACTAAACTTCCATTCATATGCAAAGTAGAAAAGGGTAAGTGTTTACTATTTTTAAAATGGTCAGAATATTTTTTATGCCCCCGTGAACGAAGTATCGGGGTATATAGTTCTTGTCGTGTCTCTCTGTCTGTCTTTTTGTTTGTCTGCAAAAAATATTAACATTTCCCATAACTTTTGATTTAGTGGAGCTACATGTATGACTTTCATATTTCACATGTGTTTTCTCTGAGACAAGACGTTTCTTTGGGTACCACCAAATATGACCTTTTGACCTTGGAGTTTGACCCACTTTTACACAAAAATTTCAAACTTTTAGTTTGGCCATATCTTTTAAACAGTAGATACCAGGACATTTATAACTTCACATATGTATTCTTTGTGGCAAGACCTCCATTTGATACCAACAACCTTGATCTTGGAGATTTCTGTACTTATGAAAAAACTGTAAATTTGGCCATAACTTTTGAACGCTAAGGACTAGTGATCTCATACTTCGCATGTAATTATATGTACACCATGTAATTCTTGTGAGAAGACCCTTTATTGGATACCAAGAACTTTGACCCTTTGACTTTGACCTTGGAGTTGACCTACTTCCAAAAAGCAAATCTTGACCATACCTTTTAAAGGGTTAGGGCTAGTACTTTCATACTTTACATATTTAAACCTTGTTACAAGGCCTTTCATTTGATACCTTTGACCCTTTGACCATGGAGTTTGACTTTTTAGAGGGCTAGGGCTAGCACTTTCATACTTCACATATTTAATCCTTGTGACAAGATCATTCATTTTATACCTTTGACCCTTTGACATTGACCTTAGATTTTGACCTTTTAAAAATATTAACCTTGGCCATAACTTTTGAAGGGTTAGGGCTAGGGCTTCCAAACTTCATATATGTATTTTTTGTGGCAAGACTTTCATTGGATACCAATTACCTTGATCTTTGACCTTTGCCTACGTTCATATTTCACAATTGTATTTTCAGTGAGAAAACCTTTTGGTTCCAATATATTAAATGTGCATTTAAAAAAAAATGTCTTCGCTTTGTATGTTGTCATATGGGGGCATCAATGTTTCACAAACACATCTTGTTTTTATGTACTACTACTCATAACTCATAGATTTTTTAACTCTGTTTTGCAGACTTTATGCCTACCATATTCAATACTTTTAGAGATCATGGATGGGGTATATATTGTTTAACGTCCCTCTCGAGAGTTTTTCACTCATATGGATGGGGGATGAGCCGGGGTAATTGAAATAAGTAAATGAAATTTACTGAAAGTAAATACATTTTGTAAAGTATATGAAATTGAAATTTTTTGTAATTAAGTTTGCTATCAATGAAAACTTATTGAAGGTATTTAAAAATATTCATAAATGTCATGAATTTTCAATTACATTGCAAATACTTAATTTTTCAAGTAAAAACTCTAAAAAAGGTGTTTTATAATGATGTGTACCAGTAATATTTAGCATTAGCTTATGTCTATTCAATAATTATATGCTTAACAATTTTTATACAGCATAACACACTGCCCAAAACAATGAGAAAGATCAAATTTGATAATATTGCTGCTTCTAAATATTCCCATATATGTTCTTCAATTTTGTTGGAAAGAAAACTTAAGTAATTGAAATCATTAAATATGTTTTTTAATTACTTTCTTCAAGGTAATAGAGGGTTAATTATTATATTTGTTAAAATCAATGCATTTTAATTGCAAGTAATTGAAAAAAAATCAACGTATTTGAAATTATTTAATTAAATTTCAAGAAATTGACCCCATCCCAGATGACTCATCTCAGTGTTTTAATTGGTTTAAGAAAATTTATTCTCCAGGCAATGGAATTACGATATAATAAATAATCTAATTTATATGTATACATGTATTATGTACTATAGTACTTTTTCATGTAATAATTAATGGAGAATTTGAATGCATTCTGTATTTGTTGGTGTATGGGAGTCAGACAGATGGACACAAGGGGTCCCCCCCTGCAGACTCTCGTCATTCCTTATTTATATGTTTTTGTATAAACTGATGAGTCGTAGCTTATTTAAATTTATTCAATAAAGAAAAATTAATTACATCTCTGTGCTGATGATTTGACAAACGTAAATCTATACTATCTGAGGATGTTTCCAGATTTCTATTACTAATCATGGTCTTAAAGAATTTTAGCCCACATGAGCTGAAAGATCAAGTGAGTTTTTCTGATCACATTTTTGCTGGCGTCCGTCCCTCTCTCTGACTGTCCCTCTCTAAACTCTATTATTTTCAATTTCTTCTCAATAACCACTGGACCAGTTTCAACCAGACTTGACAAAAACTGTCCTTTGGTTGTAGAAAAATCAAATTTGTTCAAATGAAAAACCACGCCTTGTTAAATGTGGAGATAATTAAGAATTAGTGCAAAATTGGTATAATCTTTCAAAAATCTTCTCAGGAACGATTGAGCCAGAAAAGTTGAAACAAATGTTAAACTGTCATTATATAGTGTATTTTTCATATTCAAGACCCGAGGGGGGCAGCTAGGGGCTACAACTGGGGACCAAATTTTACATAGGAATATACATGTATAGAATAAACCTTTTTCAAATCTTTCTCTCAAGAACAACAAAGTTTTGACTATCATATTAATATGGAAGCATCTTTAGGTGGTGTAGTGACAAACTTGTTCAATCATGACCAAAGAGGCAGGGTTGGACACCCATGAGGTATAAAAGTTTCACTTAGGAATACATGTGTATAGAAAAATCTTTAAACTATTCTCAAGAACAAAAAAGCTTTGATTACTCATATTAATATGTAAGCATTACCAGGAAGTGTTGGTAGATTCAAGTATGTTCAAATACCAGTTTTACATATATAAATGCAATTATAAGGAATCTCTATGTAGTTTAATGTGTATGCGATAGTTAGAAACGTGCGATAATTTATTTGTATTCAAATTATCTCACCTGAGAAAGGTTATATTACATTTAACAATGTATTTGCAGGCTTTTGAAATTTCTAAAAAAAAAAAAAATAAACTGGATTATTGTTTTTTTTTTAGCTCACCTGAGCTGAAAGCTCAAGTGAGCTTTTCTGATCACATTTTGTCCGGCGTCCGTCTGTCCGTCTGTCTGTCTGTCTGTCTGTCCGTCTGTCTGTAAACTTTTCACATTTTCATATACTTGCCACAAAGTATCCTTAGGTGAAGGGAATTCAAGTTTATTCAAATGAAGGGTCACGCCCTCTTCCAAGCGGAGATAATAATGAATTAGTGAAAAAATAATGGCATTTTTAAAAAATCTTCTTCTCAAGAACCACTGGGCCAGGAAGGATGAAACTCATGTGGAATCATCCTCAGGTAGTGTATATTCAAGTTTATTCCAATCATGACCCCCGGGGGTAGGGCGGGGCCACAATGGCCGACCAAAGTTTTACATAGAAATATATGGGAAAATTCTTTAAAAATCTTCTTATCAAGAATAACAAAGCCATGATTGGTCATATATTTATAAGGAAGCATCCTCAGATAGTGCAGATTGAAACTTGTGCAAATCATGACTCCAGGGGGTAGGGGGTGGCCACAATGGCCGATCAAAGTTTTACATAGAGATATATGGGAAAATTCTTTAAAAATCTTCTTCTCAAGAATAACAAAGCCATGATTGATCATATTTATATGGAAGCATCCTCAGGTAGAGTGGATTCAAATTTTTTTCAAATCATGACCCCCGTAGGTTGGGCGGGGCCACAATGGCCGACCAAAGTTTTACATAGAAATATATAGGAAAATTCTTTAAAAATCTTCTTCTCATGAATAACAAAGCCATAACTGGTCATATTTATATGGAATCATCCTCATGTAGTGTAGATTCAAGTTTGTGCAAATCATTCCATCTCTCCTTTAAGGAATGGTTGGGACTACTTTTTGGTTTAAACTTTTCAATAATAAACTAATTTCTGCTTTTATGCTAGCAACAGGTGAGCGTTGTGGCCCATGGGCCTCTTGTTTTCTTTAATCATGTTAATTTTTTGCTAAACTTTAACAGCTACAATGTACATGTAGCAGTTAAATATAAAAGTCCTTTTTTTGAAATATTATTGTTATCTTTCCATTTTCTTGTCTTCAGAGAAAGAATGCAATCCATGATGGTACACTCATCAAGCTCTTTTATTAATTATGTTAATTTTTTGCAGGTGTTTTGGTAAAGGATGATTATCAGCCTCCACCTTTGGGTAAATCTTTTCTACTCTGAAGGTTAACTTGTATGTCGGATCGTCATAGATATACTAACGTGTAAATAATTAATGAATAAATAATCAGATCAGGCACACTTTCATTAAATATTAACTATTAACTTACATATTTATTTGTTCAGTATTATGTTGCTATTGTTCTGCAAGGATTAAAGTAGCTTTTGCTTCACAGAGAGATGCGACGATGAGGAATTTGTTCGATTGAATAACTCTTGTTTCAACGTAACAGAAGTTAAATCAAATTTTTATGAAGCACAGCGTAGCTGTCGCGAAAAGGGTGCCGAGTTAGCAAGCATTCACAGCGAAGAAGAACTTAGTATTGTGACTGCCGTAAGTTCTTAAATTAACTAAATATTTTACTTTTCTTAAAACTAGTGACATTTTCTTGTGTGCAAATTTTTATAAAGATTTTCTTCCTTAATAATCGCATAACCTTTTCCAAATCATCATCAAGCGTTTTCTTTTTCTGTATTAAGATGTAAATCACCATGAAATTTTATGTAAAATACATGTGTAATTGGTATTTCAAGATGATGTTTTACATCAAAATATAAATGAATTTGAAAATTTATATTAAAAAACCATACTTGACTCTTATTTTTCTATAAATCATATAAAAGACAATTTTTTGCTTTTAAAATTTCTTTTGTGTCCATTTTTTTCAGATTTCGTCCAAAGGCTTGTGGATAGGCTTGGTACGATCATCGAACGCTGGGTATGTCTACACATGAGATAAAATTTATGTAGGAATATCTTTTCTGCTATGGTATTGTTACACCTGTAGAGAAAATTTAAAATTTTCCAGTGTACATTTTACAAGCAGCTCAATATGAATGAAAAATGTTTTGATTAGCAAAAAACCTATTTTCTGCCACCTTTGATAAACCTGGATAATTCGGGTCGCTTTGATTGAATCGATTCAGTAAGTTCTACTTTGTATTTGCTAATTGGTATATGATGAAATTATTGTGCATAGTTTGAGACAGTCTATATGAATTTAAAGTGTCATCTCTGACGCTGATAGCTGCAGAGCTGTAGCTCATTGTTTGAGACAATTCGGACAAATAAAGCTTTATCTGTTTTATCTGTCCGAATGTTCTCAATTAAAGCAGAGAACTACAGCTCTGCAGATGATATGACGCTGAGTAATTGAAATCTATGGCACGCCAAATTCACAGAAATGAGCTAAACACAGTGTAGTTTTACAATTGATAAACTATAGTTTACAAACCGTGCACTATAGTTTACAATTCGTTAACTATAGTTTTTCATCTGCAAAACTATATTTAACGGTTGTTAAGTTTATTTGTCTGTAATAAAACGTTAACAATGGATTTTGATTCACGTCTGTAAACTTTAATTTACAATCGTGAACTGAAATTAAGAGTTGTTAATCATAGTTTCACAAATTGTGAAACTATATTTATCAGATCGTTAAATATAGTTAAGAGTTGTAAACCATAGTTTACAAATCGTGAAACTGTATTTATCAGATAATATATGTTTTGCAATCGCAAATGATTGTTTTCAGTGTTAAGTATAGTTTACAGTTCTGAAACATAGATTATCGCATTTACTATGGTTTATAGATGTAAAATATAGATTAACGTTGTTAATTATAGTTCACAGGCCGTAAACTATAGTTTACAACCGATAAACCTAGTTTAATGACTGTGAAACTATGTTAAGCTCTTTTTTTGTGAATTTGGCGTGCCATAGAAATCATTCGAAGAACGTCACGGTTTCATGACCAAATTTCCACAGGTGTCTGTTTATTTAAATTACAATATGAGGCGCATGTAATTTCTGAAAGCTATAAAACATTTCACAAGTTTCAATGTCCTCTCAATACCGGTATATTGTCATTTTTCATTATGAAGAAATATAGCTTCTCAGATTGTATACAGATAACATTTCACATATGTTTAATTACAATTCAGTGCCCCTCTCTAAAATATATGACAGAAAAAGAAAAAACAAAAAACAAAAAAACCAAAACAAAACAAAACATTTAGACATACATGAACCTATATAAACATGTACATAAAATAGACATACTGTATGACTCTTCAATGTATATATACATAAGTATTATATTGTGGTATGGGGCAAATATATGGCAATTAATTAATGTACATGCATTTTTGAACTTAATGTTTATAAGACAGAGAGAGAAAAAAAATGCAAAGTACTGCGTGTAACTCAGAGATATACATAGGTAGGTAAATTACTGAAAGCATACGTGATATATCTCTGCTAGGAATAAGGGAGAGTGACCACTTACGTACATGTACATACATGCATGCATGTTATGCCCCACCAAGACACTGGAACACCCCCCCCCCCCCGATAATTTTGATAAAAATTGAATTAGTTTAGCAATTTTATTTTACTAAACTTTATTTTTAAACTCAAGTATATGATTGTACCTTTTTTAACGTCCCTCTTTAGACGTTCTCTTTTGTATGGAGACAATATCGTTACCGGAGAAGTTCCTGCCACGAGGGGATGCTCCGATTAGCGGTGCTCTTGTTCATGTTTTCAAAGCTACATATACAGTAGATATCATAGGGAATGACAGAGATATCCTCAGATTTAAAAGATTGAATACATAATTTTATAATATACTAATAATGAATGAAAATTGTTGAAGATTTGCATGGACCGATGGAACACCACTCGATTTCATACGTTGGAAAAAAGATGAACCTAACAATTATCTTGGAATGGAAGATTGCTCTCACATAAGTGCAGGTGAGGGTCTTTCAAGTGTTTTTTAAACATTATATTTAGATTTTGCGGATTTTGGTTTTGATATGATTAGTATTAAAAAGTTTAATGTGTCCCTGAAGCTTGTATAGTTGAAAGCTGCTAAACTACAAAGTAAAAACTCGCATTTAGATTTAGATTTAGTTATAAAGAAAATAGTTTTTTGGAGGAGAATTCATCCTTTAGAAAAAAAGTCATAAAAATAGGTTTTGGACAAAAGTTTAAGGTTCCTGGATATATTTTACAAAAAAAAAAAAAAAAAATAAAAAAAAAATAAATAAATAAAATAAAAATAAACTACCATTACCAGAAGCAGGTGCCTCTATGTATCCACTATTTTTCGATTAAAAAAATATCCTGATAGGTAAAAAAAACCTATTTTTCATAAGAAATTGTTTGAAAATGATATAATTTTTGTAAATGATCTATTGGAATAGGATGGATCTTTTATAGATGTATACGAGGGCTGTTCGAAAATAATTGAGACACTGTGTATATTTTTCTTTCTAATTAACGTCTTTCGGAAAAATTTGCGTATACGTTTGACAAACATTTATAGATCATAAAAGTGAGAAATAATTTACAAATATTAAATTTCTTTTCTTCAATGGTATATAAATGAGTCAGTGGTAGGGGTACCCGGCGCAGTCTCGAAATTAGATATTGAAAATATGTAACACCAACGTTGAAACTCCCGGTGGACCCATAATAAAAGCGAAAATAATTCTATTTATGTGTATATTTTTTTCAATTTAATTTTGATTCCATTTTGTGCAAGTTTGTTAAAATTTGATCAGAAATACGGAAATCAATAAAAAAAAATTAGGCGCAGTAAAGAAATCTGATTGAGACGACAAAATGGATTTTGACGTCAAGGCGGAGCAGAAATCATTGTTACAACGCGATATGTAATAACAACGCGAAATGTAATAAACCTGGATTATTACATTTTTCGTTATTACATTTTGCGTCGAGATCAACGCAAAATGTAATAACACGATTTTTAGATTATTACATTATACAGTTATGGAATGGGTACGAGGGAAATAGCAAATTTATGGTTCCCCGAGGGAGGACTCTATTTCCCGAGGCGACATTGTTATGTCATTTGCATTATGACGTCACAGTAATGAATACCAGCTGCAGTATCAGTTTTTAGAAACATCCATCGAATGTGTCAAAAGCAGCCTTTCTTGTGTTGGTGACATTCACTCATATTTTTAAAATATAAATAGAATTTGCATTATCTTTATCAAGTGTCAGTAGCTGTTAAATATATATGATGTTTCAGGAGCTTGGAATGATAACAATTGTGGAAATACCTTAGGAGGATATGTCTGTAAGAAACGAAATAACGGCAAATCGAGTCAACCCTCTACTTCTGTTATAAAAGGTGGATGCCCTACAGAATTTGTCCCATCCCCATTCGGTACGATAATATTCAAGATATCATTTTGAAGATACCTTATTTATACTGTTTTTAAATTGATTGTTCATTTTACATTTAGCGAAAAGAATAATCATTTTTTGAAAATAAATTGAATGTTAACTAATAATAAATTATTTATGTGCAGGCAGTAAATGTTATAAAGTGGTGGATGTCCAAAAATCATGGTCAAATGCCCAATCTGATTGCAATAGAACAAACGGAGCATCCTTATTATCCATCAGAGACCAGATAGAACAGGGTTTATTTTACTTGAAATTTCTTAGAACTGATAAATTTTCATTTGAACGTCATGATAAAAAAACTATATATATAAATTAATTTATTACTAGTATATTTTTGTTTTCCTCTCTTTAGCAAGGCAATAAAAAATGTTCGGATGTAAATTGTTAACACAAAACGTACTACATGTAGTTAAACCAACAGAGAGTGTATAGTTAGAATTGGAAAGAAACAGGGCACTTCAAAAGAATGGATATTAAAAAAGCTAGTAGTATTGTGTAGAGCTTGATTCAGCAGATACATGTATATATGTAATCCTTTCTCATATTTTTTGCTTCTATATCAAACCTAATCAATAAACACTTTTACAATTTATCCTTGTTTAGAATCGATCTCTTCATTTCAGATTTTGTCATTAGTTTGCTGAAGGAGACAAAACAGACACTATGGATTGGGTTGAGGAAGTTCGCCAACAAATATCTTTGGGAAAATAATCAAGAAATAACCTACACAAACTGGAATCTCAGGGAACCTAGGGGTTATTCGGTAAATTTTTTGTAATATTTGGCGTATTTCTATTCTTGGTACTTTGTGACATTTTATTAGGTCACCTGAGTTACTCAGGTGACCTATTGCTATCTTTTCGTCCGTCATCGTCCATCGTGCGTCGTCTGTCGTGTGTTAACATTTGAACATTTCCTTCTCTGAAACCAATGAACCAATTTCAACCAAATTTGGTATACAGCATCAATGGGTGAAGGGGAACATAAATTGTGAATTTTATGGTCCCCGACCCCCTGGGGCCTGAGGGGTGGGGCCAAAACCACCAAAATTATTGCAATCTTTAAAAAAAAATTTTCTTTACTCCTGGACATCAAGCAGACAAACTGTTGGCATGAATGTAATGAGCATTGAATTCCTCTACCAAAATTGTGAAATTCATGGCCCCGGAGTCAGAGGTTTCAGTGCTACAGCATAGTGAAAATGCATTATGTCTTTAAAAATCTTCTTCTCTGCTCCTGGGTATTAAACAAACTGACTAAGTACATAGTTATGATGAGCAAGAGTGCCTCTTCCAAAATTATGAATTTTATGGCCCCAGGCTCAGGGGTTCTAGTGCTAGGAAGGGGCTATATAGATTATATAGTGAAAATACATTAATTCTTTGAAAATCTTCTCTGCTCCTGGGTTTTATGCCAATGATCCAAGTATATATATTTATGATGAAGAAAGGTGCATCCAGCAAACTGGTTATTTTTTATTCCCCCCTGGGTGGAGTGGGGGGAGGAGGGTTACATAGTCTGAAAATAAATTAATGCTTTGAAATCTGTTTTTTTTTTTTGGTATTAATCAACCATTTTATGATAAAATTTGCAAATTTTTGAAATATATGGCCCCAGGGTCAGTGGTTCCTTTGGGGTGAGGTGCAAAACTGGTTATGAAGTGGAAGTGCATTTTCTCTTTGTTACTCTTATATACCTCTATGTATTAAGTAAACAGAGTAAGCATGCTAAGTTTATAATTATGATAAGCAATGGTGCCTCTTTCAAAATTGTGAATTGTGAATTTCATGTCCTCTGGTTTAAAACAAAGTTAATTGTTTGAAAGTTGTTACACAATACTCAGGTGACCTATAAGGCCCGTGGGCCTCTTGTATTGAAATGTGATGTTGCCATGGTTACTAAAAACAAAAGTTTGGTAAAATCTCTATCAAAAGGCTATTCCGCCAACAGTTTTTAGCGACTGAACCAAAGACAAACACTCTGTTTATTGCTGTTGCATAATTTCAAGTGCAAGTGTTATTTTTCTCTTCCTTTGTTATAAAATACAAACCAGTAGAGCTAAAGTTTCATTAGAGACTTCTGGTTAAAGAAGCGGCTGTGTTTGATATCAGTAACATGAGCTAGTAAGTCTACTTTGTTTTTAAATCAATTCATCACGAATGATTTATATAGTGTAAAAAGGGTCGTTGATAATGTATGTAATCGAATGGACAAAGCATTCAATGTTTAGCACAATGTAGACCCATCAGAAATCACCTTATGAAATTATTTTCCAGCTTCCCTGAATTAGACATCAGCTTGTTCGTTTAGTTCTCCTGATGTTTTCCAAGTTATTAGGCAGCAATATTCATGAAAAAACTCACACCTCATACAAATAAATACAATGTTGTGATATCAATTTACAAAATTATGAAAATACATTTACATGTGATGCAATAAACATAGTAGTCAATAGTGTATTGGCATTTTTATTTTTTAGGCAACATGTGTCGAAATGAAGAGTCAATATGCGCTAGACATTGGAAAGTGGAAAACGGCATACTGTTCTCGTTATAAAGGTTATATCTGTGAAACACTAAAAGGTACGGATACTGGGTTATATTGTTAATATGATAGTAATAAATATATATCAGATAACTTTTCTTTCTTTTTTAAAAAAATAATTTTATTAATTGATATTCTTCATTGATTTGTTTCTTTTTTATCGTTTTTTAAAGAAAAATATATCACGGTATTCACTTTTTCCTGGTACAAAAATACTAGTACCAATGGTAACAAAAAATAACACTTCCGAAATTTGATAAGATGATTAGATGTGTATAGAATAAAAACAAATATTTCATTTTCATCCCATAGATCCCTCTATTGCGAAGCAAATTACGTCACAGTGCCCCCCAAACTACGTACAGAACAGACAAAGTTGTTATCGATTCTTCAATGACATCAGACTGGACTGGAAATCAGCTGATCATCACTGCAGACTTGACAATGGAACACTAGCGGCCATTTCCACTGTTTATGAATTTGGTTACATTCAAGCCATTGCACTACACTTTAATATGACTACATTTTGGATTGGATTAAGAAAATCAAATGTACATTTATGTTTATCGAACCTCAACATATCGCTCTTTCTCTTACATATTTCACAGAGCAAATGCATTCCAATTTTGAAACACTTAACTTTTTGACATTACTCAGTTATTTTCTATATTTAGACTTCAAACCTGTATCAATGGAGTAATGGTCTACCCTACCTTTACACTCACTGGAATCAGTCGGAACCCTCTCAGAGACCAGGCGAGGAGTGCGTCTTATCACATGACAACAAATGGCAAGACAGTTCCTGTAAAATTAACCTTCCCTATTTGTGTGAAAAGAATTTAGGTAGCTTAATTTCATTATTCTGTAATATTTAAACATTCTGCCAGCATAATAACAAATTCTTTCAAGTGAAACATTCTTGCAAAAATCTTTTACATATAATTCCCAATAAGAAGTTGATATTTGATAAATATTAAATTGCTAGGTAATAGACTTTTTAAAAAGATGTCCATTGTTTATTTTTAAGTCAGTGAGAAAATAAATGATCAAAGTGTTGTCTATATCCTTGTTTTACAGTATCTTTTTCAGAGTTCAACTTTGCAGTTTTACTAAATCAAAACAGGTGGCTCTAATTTTCAATTAGTTTCATACGCAATGTTGTCATAAAAAAAACAACATTTCAAGATAATCTTCTTTCAGAATTTATCTTATATCTAACGTCGGGAATTTAAGAAGTTTTCTTTGTTTTAATTAATTTTTTTCTTTGAGTTTTTTTATCAGAGAAAAATATTATGCTCTGATAAATATTAATTTTGAAACAAGTAAAGACTCAAGATATAATAAAAAAAAAAACGAATCTTAAATTTATAGCGTTTGATATGAAGACATAACCGTTTTGCAAGATTTTGACTTTTATTAAATTAATATTCAAGTTGTTAAACCTGACAAATGAATGAATGTGATATATGTAAATGTATATCAGAATATAACGTAAAGAGGGCTGACATGGAAAAATAGTTTTAAACTGAAAAAAAACAACAAAGTAGTAAATAACCTTCAGAAAAAAAATGTCGACATTTATTTTTATGTGTTCTGTTGAATAACAGTTGTTGACAAATCATATGTATTAAAATCTGTTTGGGCAACGTATATGGTCTTATCTTGTTTAACAAAAAACCCGCCTTATAGGTCACCTGAGCATTATGCAACAACTTTCCATGATTAAATTGCATGTTTTAAGCCAGATGCTATACATTTACAATTTTGATCATCATAAGATGTCACATTGTTTATTTTTAATACCCATAGGCAGGGTAGGGGTGCATTTCAACAAATAAATTATCAATAAAGTGTTGTCACACATGAACCCTTGTTTTACAGATCCACACATTCAATTTTTGAAAAGGCATCCTTGCTTTTCAAAAGTATTTGATTAATACCAAGGAGAGATTTCAAACAATTCATTATTTTTCAAAACAGGTGGAAATTCACAATTCTAATTTTCTATATTAGTCATATCTTTATACCCAGGAGCAATGTTTTTTCTATATAATCAAAAAAACAACATAAAAATTTCAAGATCAATCTTCTTCAGAGAAGATTTTCAAAGATGTATTTTTATATTATAGATCTAAACCAGTCTGGGGCCATAAAATTCACAATTTTAAGAAGTTTATCTTTGTACTTTTAATTAATTTTTTTCAAAGAATTTGTGTATTTTTATATTTAGAGCCCCACCCTAACACCAGAAGAAAAATCACAATTTGGTAGAGGCATGCTCATCATAAATATTAATTTTATAAACAAGTAAAGATTTTCAAAGAAATAATATTTTACTATATAAAAAAAAACGAACCCCTGATGGGGCCATTAAATTTATAGCGTTTGATATGTAAGAGTTTATATAAACCAGAGAAGTTTTGAAAAAATTTTCACTATATTATTAAATTAATATTTTCAAGTTGTTCAAACCTGCACAATTTATTTAAATGAATGTGATATATGTAAATGTATATCAGAATATAAATTACAAGAGGGCACTCTGACATGGAAAAATAGTTTTTTAATACCCAGGAAGAGAAAAATTTTCAATGCAACTATATAGTAAATAACCTCCTGACCCCAGGGCCATAAATTTCAAAAAATGATTACAATCATGCAAACATTTGACTGCTTTTTTATAAAGTGCATTAATTTGAGTGGTTTTGCAATGAAATTCACAGTTCCCCTTGACAAATGCATATGTGCCAAATTAAAATCTGTTTGCAGAGAAGAAGCTGAAAATGTTCAAAAGTTTACGACCGATGGTCTTATCTTGTAGGTCACCTGAGTGAACAAAAAGTCACTGAAAATTGTTTTCTTCTGCAAGATTTTAAACCATATATGGCGTATGTATAATGAAAAGTATTAGACTAGAATTATAATAACTTATTATTTGTATCATTACTTTATATAAAGATAGAACTTTTCCGTAAATTACAAAATCTAAGTCAATTGCGTTATAAAGATATCACAATTTATTTTGGATTCTCAGAATTTTCTCCGACTCAGAAGAAAATACAAAAGATTTAAATAACACATTACAGAGAAGATAAAATCGTATTATTAGTTGAAACGAGGTGTTCTCCGTGTTCAGAATTGTATGAAAAGTTTTAATTTAAATGTATTAACTATATTTCTTTACTTAATTTTGTATTTTTCAAAAATATATTTTTTGATCAGTTACGCCATATATGGCTTTAAAATGATATGGGATCAAGTCTAAAATTACGTTTGTCGACGTCACAGTTATCATTTATATGAGGTCATGAATTTTGTTTTAGGAAAACTGCCATTGTCAGCGCCTACTGAGTGTCCAAAAACAAGCATGCCTTTGAATGGAGCATGTTATTACATAGAATTAAAGCAGAAAGGATCGTGGATGGACGCACAGCGTATGTGTCAAAATCTTGGCATGACTCTTTCTTCAATCCATTCAACCGTCGAGATGGAACACATCAGAGAGTTTGCATTCCGTCAGGGTGCGACAAGCTCCTTTTGGATTGGACTTTCAAGAAGAAGATTACCATTAGATCCAATCGGGAAAGGTTAATCTTGGTCACAATGAATTATATTTCTTAAAAAGTTGTGAAATTAAATATATATGTATACATGTGTGTAAATTACTGTTCAAAAATAATCTGCTTAATCTTTGAAGTGAAAGTATATACATGTAACTTATTTAACCATACTTCTCATTTCAATATTTTATGATCTAAATTGATTAAAAAACTTACTGATTAAATACCCCCCCCCCCCCCCCCAATGTATCAATACGTCTTTGGGTGAAAGACATAGGGTTTTTTTAGTCAAGATGTTGTTGTAAATTTTGTATTTACTGCCATCTATTCTTAAAATACCAGGGTTCCAGAGTCTACACGTTGCAGTTGGCTTGTCCTATGGCAAATTTCAATTAATATTCATGGCCTGTCTGTTGCGACGTCTATCAAAAAAAATTAAAATATTGATTGTTTTTCTTATCTCTCAACTAATTGCGTTAAGCCAATTTGTACTAAGCAAGTGCATTAAATTTGAGGTGTCAAGTGAATCCTGTTTGCTTACATTATCTTACTATGTATGAAAACTTTAATTTGTGCTTCTCGGCCAGAGAAGCAAGCCCTAAATAACCTATCAAATGTAATTTGCCAGAGGACCAATGGAAACGCGTTGACTGAGGACCATTGGCATTGTAAGGATGAGTGCCAATCGGGGAATTCAAAATTAATCAAATGACAGTTTATACATTAATGTTTCATCTTTTTAGTAAACTTCTATTGGTCAGACAAAAGTAGCGTCGATTATACTAACTGGAATACCAATGAACCCAGTGACAGTCTTTTCAGCCAAAGGCAAGAGTGCGTGGAAATGGCTACTACCGGCACTTGGAATGATGTTTATTGTGGGTCAAGTCGAGGATTTGTTTGCAGGGATGAAGGTAATAATTTGACTTTTTATAAGAGTTTGGGAACTGTACTGGGGTTGAGCTTATCGGACATATGCTAGCTTGTCGTCCTTTCCTGCAAGAATAAGATGTTCTTTCGCCAGGTTTAAAATTAGAGCTTAAGAGAATTCCGAGATGATTGTATGATTAAAATATTTAATAAGTTCTTCACCTCGACGCCAGCTTTAAGTATCAGCAGGATTGGAGCCTTTTTGGTTGAAGTAGAGAACTAGATTCTGTTGTATAGAATAAAATCGCCGGCGTGTTGAATATTGGAATATGTTGTCCAGAACTTTTTGGAGCTCACATGGAGTGAGAGCAATGACACAGAGGTCTTCTTAGATTGAATTTAAGCTGTGAACATTGAAGACTCCGATGTTTGAACTTAGATTTTGAATTTCTAACTGTAAATCATCAATGAATATACGGAAAGTCGAAAGTACCCCATGCAGTATTTAGCAAAACAATAGTTTCATGGTATCTTGTGATTTGTCGTGATATTATAGAAATAATTATTATAGAAATAAATGTATATCGACTCCAAAGAGAAGTATATCGACCAAGAACAAAGTGCAAGGAACAAGTCGATATCCTTATGAAGTCAATGCATTTTATTGTATATCCTGATTTCATTTTGACGTGGGGTAATACAAATATTTTGTTTCTATCTTAAAGCTAACATATCAAAATATTTATGATTTTATATCATATACAAAAATAAAACTTGTTATTTTTAGTTTTAATGTTTCTTTATTTTGAATTTTGGAATAAATAAAAAAAAAAAATGAAAATTTAGCTATGCATATAACTACTAGTACATTGAAAAAAAAACATCTACATAGTTTTTTCCTCCTAGTTTCATCTGAAGCAGAAGTTACAACTAGCGTAACAACTACAGAATATATCCAGTCTACATACGGGCCCTATGTTGATAACATTACAAGTTCTGACAACAACACCTCAACCAGTGCTGGTATTATCCAGTCACTAGCTGAGTTTAAAGACAAAACAGGTAAAAACAAAGAACGAAGATCGAAAGCTTTAAAGCTTTAAATTATTTTCTACTTAATTGTTGGTAAACGTTTCTTCAGAACAAAATTAATAACCTGATCTTTCTGTAGTTAAAATATTATGTTTTTTTATTATTGGAAAATCGGTTATAAAATATAATAAAATAAACTTTTTAAAAATTTTATCTGAATTATCAAAATACGCCATTTTTGTATCATTTTCTTTTAATCCTTGACACTAATAGATTCTTGTACCTTATATAAACTTATTAAAATAAAATATTATTAAAGGACTATGTCATTTGTGATTGTTTGTAACTTTAGCAGAAATATCCAAACTCACGTTTGCTATAGTCGGTATAGTGGTGGGACTTCTACTTCTGGGTTTTGGTTTGGTGGCTATCGTCTACATCCTCAAGAAACAAAAAGTCACCACTCCACCAACAGCAGAAACTACATCCGGCTTTGAAAATGCTATGTATCGTAAGGATTCTGGAAATATTTACATCAGTGAATCATAACGATACCTTTATTTGCTTTATTCTCCGATGTAAGAGAAACAAGTTTTTATAAATTTGGATGCAAATCCGATGTTAAACAAACTACCACGAAAATGGATGCAGAGCTTGGAAGTGACAAGTTCAAAGTGCGAATTATTCAGTGATTTTTTAAAAACAATTTTTAGCAAAATTCCAAGGGACTCTTGAAATATTTGTTTTGTAGGATATAGAGATCTTTTTGGAATTCTTATTTGTTCAAGTGTGGAAATCATAGCTCATGATGATATCATATCACAAAAAAAGACTTTTAATTGTATTCAAAATTAAAAGCTCATGAAAACAATACATGTAATTTTTATTTTCGATTTTGAGTAAAGGAAATATAGATGAAAACTATATACATGTAATAATATCATGTTTGCTTAAATTGATGTATATGTGTGACAGTATTATTAAAATTCGTGTAGTATAACTGTTCATTTTATATTTCTCTCACGTTTATATTCAATTATTGCTTATTTAAAGACATGTAACAATGTAATCTTCATGACAAAGTTAAAACCTTAAGTGCGTTACTTTAAATATTTTCTTTAATAATGATATTTTGGAAAAATTCCATCTTGGTCTTTCAGCCTCAAGGCCTGTAAGGATCTTTTTAAGTTGAGGAAATGAGTTAACTTTACTTTCCCTGCACAAGTTTACAGAAAACTAAAGTTGTTATCTGAAAGGTTTGTATGCAATATATATTTTTATCAATTTCTAATCTCTAACCGTTCGGTCTCAAAATCAATATAAATCTTTTCAAAGACGTATAACCTATACTATAAAATTTTGTTGCAAAACCTCAAAAAGAACTAAAGTTAATTGTCAACAGAAACCTATGCATTTATACAAGATATGATTCTTTTTTTACCTTGTTGTCAGTCACTTAACTTAAAATCAACAAGGGCTTCATACTAATTGTTAGTCTATTATTTATACACTGAATTGACGACGGAGTTTTCCGTTATTTCCTGATCATGACAAGGAGCACACGGCGGGTGTGACCGGTCGGCAGGGGATGCTTATTCCTTCGTGGCACCTGATCCCACCTCTGATGTTTCGGAGGTCCGTGTTTGCTCTTCTCCTATTTTGTAGTTTTATGGACTTGATATTGAATACCGTTCGTTATCTCCATATCCTTCTCATGATAAACGTGATGACTTTTAACTTTTCTATCGTCATCTTCCTTTATTTTTGCAGCAATATACCTTCGTTTCCTGCATATAAAATTTATATATCTCAGTTGATTCGATAGGTAAAAGCATCCTCTACGTATGAATGATTTCTAAAACAATATACAGTTATTGCTGTTTTTTTTTAGGTATGAATGATTTCTCACCGAGCCCGAAGGGCGAGGTGATTATTGTACAAGAGTAAAATTATTGACGAAAATACAGCAATAATTGTTTTATTATATGATTCACTGAAAAAAATGGTACATCTCATTACTTGTTTGCATTTTATTAAGTCCTAGCCATATACAAGAGAGAAGCAGAATTAACATGTGAATAAACCTTACAAGTCGTATCAATTTGAAAAGTTTTTTTTAATCAATTTTAGTTGCCATGAAAAAATATATAATGTCAGTCTTTTTTATAGGATAGATGTTGAAAGGAAGGAGTATTATCAGGGAAAACTGACTGCCAAAAAGTAAAAATGTTCAGTGAAAGTGTTGGAGGGTGTTCCTGTATCCCCTCTTACCACCCTCACCCTAAAATATATATTCGCTTATGTTTTGTTCACGTGAAAAATAATCATAGTCGTTTAAATACTTTCCAAAACAATTTGTATTAATTTGGAATTTCCCAATCTATTTTTAGATCAATGTAGAGGAAATAAATCCTTGTATTGACCTGGAACGTCACGTGCAGGTCAATACAACGTAGTATTTTTCTAACATAGTTGGATCTCAGCCAATCAGAGAGATGGAAATTATTCCATCATATAATAAAGTAAATTATTGACAAACAAGTTCATGAAACAAGAATATCAGCATTCTCGTTGAAAGTCATCATTTCGTAAGTTCGTCGAGAAAAAGATCCAAGAAAATTTAAGGTAGCACTGGAAACCATTTGCAATGAATGTTGTTTCTGGGTTTTTTTTCTCCTTTAATTTAAATCATGGTAAACATTTTTTTATTGGCCACACGGAATAACAAATTTTTAAAATAATTTGTTCTAAAAAATCAAAAGTTTCAGCAACATATTAAAAAAATACTGGGTCCTAATACTTCTGTACATTAAAGAAAGTTATGCTGTAGAAACATTGAATTGATGCCTAATCGTTCTGCATAGATCAACTGACTTTAAAAATCTGACATACCGAATTAGTCACTCCTTTAATATATTTACATGTATATATCATCGGAGTATAACCCCATCCCCTTCTTAAAAGCTGGATAGAAATAAAAATTGACTTAATAGAGGATTAACTAAATGGTGATATAAAATCCTTTTTTTAAAATAATGAAACATTTCAAACATTAAAATCACCAGAATGGCATTTGTCACACGACACAGTAATCAAATAACAGAGGAAACTTTATGGCATTTCTTTTATTGGCATGTTAGGGTGATGCTCAAGCACACAAGGAAAAAACAACGAATAGTTGCTAGTAATATCACCAGTGTCCAAAAAAATAAAAATTAAAATATGTGTGATTGACAAAAATTTTGGACTCATTTGAAAGAAAAAAAGAACGTTTTTTCACGACATATATTTATATACCATATTCAGTTTTTTTAAAAAGCCCTTTCATTATACTGAGTAAATTGTATGGGTTTAAAGACTAACCAGAATTAGTAGAACTTATTATTATATTTATATAATCCTAACAACATTGTTAAACCTCTCTACCAGTGAAAACAATTAATCTTTGGAGTCAGAAATGCATTTAGCATTAAGTACTAATTTCGGATGGCAAGTATCTACTAGCAACTATTCTTAACAACAACAGTTTTATAACTTTATTTTCACACATCCAACTATCAAAAAGATAATTCAATGTATATATTTCTGAAAGTGCTGTTGAAAATAATCAAACAAAAAAATATTCCTGGGTAAACATAGCATTGATGTTTCATGTTGGTACAGTGGATACAAAAAGCAACAAAATAAATCCTCTTGCAGGAACAGCCCAACATGCATTGACTTCTCTAATATTATCACAGAATGCAAGTTTCACCATATTGGAACATATAAACTGTAGTACAATCCATAATTAGAGTGAAAATATGTACAGACTAATGGATTTACACACTTTTATACTGGAAATTCATGCAAATCATAAATACATTTATACAAGTGGAAGTAATTTAAAAATATGCATGACATACTTGTCATTAGTTTCAGGCATTCACTACCATTGTACTAAAACTTGGAAATTTATCCTTATGAAATCTTGACTATATTAATAATTCTATTTTCAACAAACTAAAACTAATTCGATGTAGACACTGTCGGTCTAAGTATACTTAAGAATCAACAGTGTTATTCCTAGTAAACTGTTCAGAAATTTGTTTCACAGAGATAATCTTTTCCATTACTCATAATCAAAATGTTAAATACAGTCAATTCTCGAATTATCGCCATTCGATTCATCGCCATTTTCGCCATGATTTCCCAAGAACGTTTTTCCTGCTATATAAAATTCTCTTTATAACGCCAAATTCGCATACCGCCATCCGCCACCCTGTTTTCACAACAAACGTCCATTTTTAAGTGTCAATTATCTCGATAATACCGCCACAGGTGCATGTGGTCAGTGAAGCGCGGCTAATTGGTTGACGCTATCCCTGTTGTAAAGCATGCAAAGCCAGTCAAGGTACATGCAATTAAGTAAATTAATTAAATAAACAATAATTTTAACATGAACTGTTAGAATAATTTTGTTTTCTGTTTAATAAAATCATTTATAATTCAACGCTTCGCCAAGAAAGCGGTCGTTGCAAAGTACGCCGATAACGATATCATTTTGATGATCTCTGCTTTTAAAAAAAATTCAAAGTTTGCTTAAAAAATAATTATAAGTCAGAAATTGTGAACGTTTCATTAACAATGATTTCATAAACAATAATTCAAGAACTTATTTTGCGTACTATAGGCAATATATCACGACGATCGACCCAGCATTTTTTTTTCAATATCAAACGTGCAGATTTACATACATACACATGTACTTGTCTTAATTTCATAACTGAATATTTTGTTTTAGCAAAATTGTACATTAAAAAACTTACTTGAAGTATTTTCAAATATAGAAATATGTTTATACACATGTACAAGTGATAATAAGAATAGAAACGCTTAATGGTATTTCTAAGAACGATAACTCTATGTCTTATTTCCTAAAAGATGGAAAATTCAGTTCATCGCCAAATTCGTTATACCGCCATGATTTCTAAATTACAAAAGGTGGCGGTTTATCGAGAATTAACTGTACTAGAAGAACATTTAAAAAATAAGTTTAACAGTAAACCTTACTTCAAAAATTGTAGAATCCTTTGTAAGAATACTTTTATCAAAAGTCAACGGATAATCATGCATTTGCATCCCTGTTTCAAGATATACTTGCATATATATTAAACAAGACTTCACTGTTGCAAAAATAGGAATTCACTTATCAAATTTATCATTCCTCTAATTGTGTTATCTTTTAAGTTCACCTTGATCCCCAAAAAACAATGCCTGCTCCACAAATGAAACAAGAAGTCCATGAAACACAACCCTCACCTGAATACTGTCACACTCTGTTCTTCATTAGCAGATTTTTTTTCCTTTATATATCCCTCCGAAAACTTTGATCACTCATTTTGGCCCGTACCTTCCCACCTTGAGACAAGGTTTGAAAAAAAAATATGAATCTATAATATCTAAAATGCTTATTAATAAATATGACTAATTATGACTTTGTTGTCTTGAAAAAAAACTTTATTTTTGTCAAACATTCTTCTATTCAATTCTCGACCCATTTATTTCCTCTTGGGTCATGATATGCAGGAAACTGAATTTGATCCTTCTCTATAAGTATGATTAATCATATCTCTTTGCTGTTCTCAAGAAGATTCGATTTTTCCTAAATATTCCAAGGTGCAATGGATCACTTATTGTAGCCCCTCTCTTCAACATAGGGTCATGATTAAAACAAACTTGTATTTACACTACCTTAGTAATGATGCTTCAATATAATTATGAGGATTCTTCTACTTTAAGACAAATCATGACTTTGCTGTTTCTGGATTTTTTTGTTGGTATATAATCCTATGTAAACTTTCACTCTTCTGTGTGGACCCATACTTTCCCCTGGGGTAATGATTTGAAGTACATTAAATCTACACTTCCTAAGGATACTTTTTCATAAATGAGAATGTATTCCCAGGAAAAATGAGATAAGCCACCATTGCCCCTCCCTATCCCTTAGGTCCATGATTT